AAAATAAAATAAATTCCAATCTCAAAATCGAAAGTTACGAATGATATTGACTTGTTTAAAACATATTATAAAGAAGAGACATTCACGGCTAATTTGTGACACGTAAGGGAACAAATATACCAAAATATCATCATTTCATTTAAGATAACACAAAATTATATTTTTTAAAATAATCAATATTTTTTCCCAATGTTATTGGCGCAAAAACAATCATTCCAAAAACCGTACAAACTCATGAGTCATATATGGTTACATAGATTTCTAATTCCAAGATTAAAAGAGACATTCACTGCTAATTTGTGACACGTTTGTTAGTAAAGGTTTATTTCAAACTTAAATTTTGAAACTTATATCAAAGGAATTTGTCCCATTTTTTTATTTAATATGAATTTCACCTAATAACTTAAATTTTTGTAATTGTTTTGAAGTGCTTCTTTATAATTAATTTTATAAAATTTTGTAAGTTTTAATATACTTATTATTATTATTAATTTTTTCTTGACTAAAAGAAAAATATGATTGAGATGCATGTATTATTCGTCAAAACGCTAAGCAAAATAATTTTTTATTTTAAACATAACGATTAATATTTTTCCATGTAACTTTTTTTTTTGTTGAACTTTTTCCTTATAACTTTATATCAGAAAATTATTGCATTGAAAAATAATATTTTTTCTGCAAGAATACTAATGAAAGATATTACAAAATATAATTATTTTATAATTAGACATTAAGTTTATAGAAATCAATAAGAATAGCAAACATGAATAGAAGTGGTAATAAATAATTGAGAAAAGTTCAAATAGCTACTTTGGTTTTTCTTTAAATCATTTACCTCTTATGGTTTTTTCAATCTAACTCCATCTTTTACATTGTTTAATATGTCTATTTTATCCTTCTTATAAAAATATTTCAGTTACCTTCTGTATCATTTTGTTCCCCCAAGAAACAAAATTTTTTCAGTTTCATTATTTAATTTCATTTTACAACCCACATTATTTAATTTAGTTTGCACTTTACAACTTGAAACTTAGATCTACAATTACTAGGTCTTTTATTTTAATCTATGAGTGATAATTTTTTTTTATGGAATTTTAATATTTATTTTTTATATATATAAAAAATATGAAGTAATGTGTCTGAAAAAAAGTATAACATAATCACTTCCGTATAGCACTACTTTGTGCAATTGGGTTATTTGTTTAATGAGTCTTGGGTATTTTTTAATATAATTTTGATTAGACTGGAATTTTTTCAATGAGTTATGATACTTGTTTTAGCTACACCACTAAAAGCTAAAAATAAACAAAATATCTTAAATAAACCAACAATCATTAATCACATTGATTCAATTTTGAATTTGCTGGACACGTTATGTTGTAAAAAATATTCCTTCTTTTTGTAAACATATAAATTTTTTAGAAAAGGCATTGTAAGTGGCACTTAGATATCTAGTTTTTCAGTATGGTCTTGAGTTTTATTAACTAAAATTAATTTAATGAAGTTGTTTAAATTTTCTAATATAGTTTGGGAATAGTTTGTCATAGTGTGGGCTATAAAATGAATTTAGATAAAAGAAATTGAAACAAGAAATTAGATATTGTAAAAGTAAGGAATATTATTTGATCTAATATTCTTAATTTCATTAAATACAAGAAGTTTTGGATCTACAAAAGTAGATTAATAATTTAAATAAAGAAATGTCTTAGAAATTATTGTAAAAGGTAACCCCTCTATCAAATTCACAACAAATGAGGCCAAAAAGGTTCTAATAAGGGGGAAATAGATATATTAATTAAGTTTTTTAACAGTGTTAAAAATGAACTTAAGGGGTTATATTGGATTAGGACTTTAAAAGATTTTTTTGAGCTAAAAAATCTTATAGATTTTAAAAGACTATTTAGAATTGGAGAGACTTTAAAGACTTTTTTAAAAGACTTTTTTACAATCAAGATTTCATAAGATTGGATTTTAAAGGATTTTAATAGAATTTATAAGATTTGAAAGGACAACGTGGATTTATAAGATTTTAAAAAACCATATGAATTTTTTTTTTTATTTTGGTACATAAAAACCATATGAATTTTTAACAAACATTCTAAATTACAAGAGTCAATAAAAAATGGAAAGATTATACTTACAACCTATTTTTGTTTACAACATTTTACAATCACATCTTAACCGTTGATTTCGTCAATCAACGGTTATCATTCATTGCAAATTAAATATTAATTAATGAGTTTGATTTGCAAAAATAATAACCGTTGATTGACGAAAATCAACGGTTAAGATGTGGTTGTAAAAGGTTGTAAACAAAAGTAGGTTATAAGTATAATCTTTCCCATAAAAAAACAACAAAGAAATGCAACGAAATTAATAAAAAAAAGTAAAACCTAATATAATTTTCTCAAACATTCAAAATTACTAAACGACAGCTTTTCACATATCTAATGGGTTGAAAGTTATATTCTTCGTTTGGTATCAAAGTTCAGGATAAAATTTCGTTGGAAATTTTTTGCAGTAGATCTTGAAAACCTTTGGGTTTTTATTTTACATGATGAGAATTTTCTAACCATAAATCATATGCATATTTTCATTGAATATTCTAAGAAAATTTCGAATCTGAAATTTTGGGTTTAATTACATGAAAGTTTAGAAAATTTATCAAAAAAATTTCAATCGATATATTGAGACCTTAAATTGCTTTGAGGCTTTTGAAAAACAAACTTTTAGTTATCTATTGACACAAAAATTGTTTGAAATTGTTTTCTATCGCGAAGGAATTTTATTCATGAATGTATTGTTACGAAATATAGGGTTCATATTATGAAAGTTTCAATTTTTCTTTAAATTGATATTGTTTCATTGATGTAAAACGAAAATTGGTTTGAGGATTTTAGTTCCTCTATTGTTTTTTCACTTTTTTATGTTGTTTTTAATACAAAAATCACATGTTTTTGTGCCAAGAAAAATCGCGACCCATAGCTTGAAAAACCACTTTTTAAACTTTCAAAATTTCTCAAAAATGGCTCAAAAATATGTTATTTTTGAGATAGATTATATTAAAATCTCGTTGGTTTGTTGTTTCTGGTTGCTTTGTGATGAAAATCGCTCAAAAATATGCTTTTTTTTTTTTTTAGTTTTGACGAAACTCCCATGGCGGAATCCAATTTCGAGCAGTCAACCTGCCAAAGGAATATAAAAATACTGCAATAGAAGAATCTCAAGAAATCATAGGGATTAGGGTGAGATTGTGAGAGAGGCATCCTATTTATATTTTTCACTAAAAAGTCTCACGAAATCCACACCAATAAAATATCCATTAAAATCGTCAGATTTTTGAATACCACGAGATTGTGATTCCATTGTTTAAAATCCTAATTGAATACCAACGGATTTGGACGGATTCTAAAGTAATCCTTTAAAATGCTAATCGAATACCACGATACTTTTTTTCAATCCATTAAAATCCTAATCGAATACCAACGGATTTTTTTGTCCAAAAACAATCCATTAAAATCCTTTGAAATCTCAATCCAATACAACCCCTTAGATGGAGTTTACCAAAAATAAAATAAAATAGAACTTAGATGGTAAAAAGCAAAAAGGATAAGCGATAAAAGAAAAAAGTATATGGAGATAAGTGATTTAAATAAAAATTATAGGAATTTTTTTTAACTTTTTCCTAAATAATTTAAATTTGACATGAAATTGTTGAAATATAATCTATATTATTTTATAGGTTTAATGTTTCTCTAGTCACTGAATATAAAATTATTTTTAGTAACCTCAAAACGGTGTCTTTAATTTAAGGTTAGGAACAAAAAATTATAATCATAAAAATTAATATAATCCCATAACAAATTAAAATTATAAAAATATTTTTTCCTCTACCTCAAAATGACCTCATTTTAGGATCATTAGAGATAAATTATCCTCTGCAGAAACATTAAATCCTTATTTTATAACAGAAGTTTCTGATTTGAATCTGGAGCTTTTGTTTGTTTGTTTTCAATAGATATCATTAATAAAAGTTAGGAATCTCATGCTGCATTTTCATTATGTCATTTATGAAGAATTTTACAAACTTATATTTTCTTATAAGTATATCAGATATGATATTAATTATAATATATTGAGAAAATAATATTTTTGTATTTAGGGAAAATTAGTAAAAAAAACATTCTTGAAAATAATAGATATACTAAATATACATGCCTTTTCAGGGAATTAAAAAATATTAATTAAAAATATATTTGCTTTTGAAATTTATAATTTTAAATTGAAATAATAGACTAAATATGGGAAAGCTTGAAATGGAAAGAAATTAAAATAATAGACTAAATATTTTTTTTCTGGACATGGTAATAAACACAATACGTAAAGCAAACAAAAAAAGGCACATTATTTAGAAAATTTGGAAAAATCAAGAGCCTAGATAGGAAGCCTCTCATTCCCTAATGAATCAATCCCATTTACCAAGGTTTATTGCATTAACTCCATAAGGCATATAATTAGCATTGCATCTATATTTATGAACTTGCCCACTTCGTCAAGTGTAAAGAACTTTGGGATACACTAAGTTAGTTCAAAGGATGAGAGTGTTTAAGGCCTTATAAAGGCTCACATTACATTAGTTGCACATATAACCAATATATCTTAACACGTCCCCTGACGCAAGAGCTCCTATTTTAATTCTACTTTAAAGTGGAGGCGGTTAACACAATATATCTTAACACGTCCCCTCACGCAAGAGCTCCTATTTTAATTCCACTTTATAGTGAGAGACGGTGAGGATCGAACTTGTAACCGTATAGTCACTTAATCTCTGATACTATGTAAAGAACCTTGAGATGTATCCCAAAGTTCTTTACGGCAAACGTTTCTCATCTTTGCATAGTCCTTCAAGTTTCCCTGGTTTTCTTAGTGGCAGAACATACATTACATATAGTGCTGTTTTATTCTCTCCCGCTCCCCCTCTTGCAAACATTTCTCCACACATGGCTGGTTCAAGATGGATAAGGTCCGATATAATGACCCAAAATGGTAAATCTTAATTAGAGATTTAATTTAAGGATTTAAATGCCATAATTAGGTTCAGTGAGTGATTCTGAGTATTTTGACTGTAATCATGACTATGTTAAGAACAGTGCGTTCTGTCGGAGAATTCGCAATCTTGTGAATTAACTGGTAGAGCTTAAATAAGCAAAATGATTTGAGAGACATAATTTGACAATTCTGACGACAAATATGAGTTCAGAATGAAAAATTGTATAGTCTGGCACTTTCCGTAAAATCTCGTGAATAGTGTTTCTACCGGGCATTTTGTACTGCTGTTGAGTAACCGGTAGAGTCCAGAAAATAAATAAATGATGGAATAAGAGTAAGAAAGTCCAATGTATGCTATACAAGTCAAAATAGGCCCAATGATGATAAGTTTATAAGTTTTGAGTTTCGTAAGTAAAAGACTGACAGTTAGTGGTTCACAGTGCATTTCGTTAAAAACGGTGCAGAAACCATACTGTGAATTATGAATATTGTTCCTTAGGAAATAAAAATTAATGTAAATAACTTTAGAAAAATAAAAATATATCCGTAGCTTTAAGTTAAGTTTCGGGTAAATTTAAGTGAAATACGCGATAGAAAAACATCCGACAAAAGGGCCACATGTGCCTAAATAGCTTGGCCACTTAAATGAATCACTATTCATTGCAAAAATTTCTTCTTCTCTCTCTTGAAGGGCCGAGCTTCAGCCATGGAAAAGGGGGGGTTAGGGTTTTGCTTGTTTTGTTGATTTCTTCTTGAATTCTCAACCAAATCTTATGACCCACCACTTGAAATTGATTAGGAACCACTCAAGGAATCCATTGCACTTATCCATTTGAGCTATAGTTGAGTGTGTGAAGAGTTATTCCTCCTCTTATTTTCGGATTACTATTCATTAGAGGAGAAAAAATGGGTTTTTGATGGAGCTTTGCTTGGAGGTTATTCTCTAGGCTTTGTACAAGTGATTAGAGGTAAGAAATCTCTATTTCTATGGTATTATTTTGTGATCTATATTTTGAAAATTTGGAGCATGTTTTGAATGGGAAATATTTGATGTTAGAAGGTGAAAATTATGATGGATTGTTGTTGGTTAGGAAGGATAGTGTTTAGTAAGCATCAACTTGTGATAAAAAATTGAAAAGCCCTAGTGCACCTTTCCCCTAGGTTTCGGCCTTCATGGGTTATATAGGGTTCATCATGCAAATTTTTATTGTATGTTTGAAAAGGTAAAATATGTTGGAATGTAGTGTAAATGGATGAATTGGTGGAAATGCCAAAGTTGGAAAAAAAATCCTACAAATACTTGCTCTATGTTTCGAAATATAGGATGTTTAGGGGTATATATATATTGGTTACATTTTATTCTAATAAAATGTGTTGCATTTTAATGTACCCATGGATAAGTTAAGAAGTGAAATGACAGGAAAAATGGTTGAAAAATACCTTGAGTCCCTAAGGGTATGCCCGCGACTTTAAAGAAAATAGCGTGATTTATGTGGAAAATTCTTAAGGAAATGCTTGATTAAATTAAAGAACGTCAACGGGTATATAGAGGTCTAGACTTGTGTATTGGCATAGAATTGGCAAAAATATAAAGAAAGGAAAATAAGCGCTAAAATGTATGCTTATGAAATAATCATGGCATAGTATCATTTTATTGATGCATTGTAAATTATTCTCTAGGTGTGCCTGGGGATTGAGAAGGATCGAAAATCTCTTGAAGCGATAAAAGTAACTTGTTCCACAAGTAAGCGTATTGGTAAAGCTTCAAGAGGTAAGCTCTATGTTTAAGGAGTCTTTTCCTACTTGAGTGCTCCACCATAGTTAGTGGACTATGGTTGGACTCTATGACTGTATTGATACTCTGTATAGGTGCATTCATATAGAGTTATTTGATGATATGATATGATATGATATGATATGAAATGATATGATATGATATGAAATGATCTGATATGACATGATATGATATGACTGATTCTGATATAAATTCTGTATTGACTTCTGGTACACTGATGTCTTCTTAGGACTTTCTTGAGATTGACCATGTACACCTCTGAGATACTCTGGTTCCGCTTGGGGTCATCCCTTGGGAACACGTGCGTTGAATTCCGCTTGGGGTCATCCCTTGGGAATTACAGCGCACACCTCTGTTATGATATGGTTATATGTTCTGTTCTGTTATGATATTTGTTATATGTTGTACTGGTATACTCTGTATCTGACTTTCATGCAGGAGTGAGCCAGGGGTATGGAGAATTCTCTATAAACCTGGAGCTTACTGAGATTTGAAATCTTACCCCTCGATGGGGCAACATTTTCAGGTGCACAGACTTCCGGTGAGCCTTCGTTAGGCAGGGACACGACACGTGGCTGAGACGTTTGACGGATCAGTATTTTGAGTAGCTATAGGCTACTAATCTTTTTGGAGTGTACTTATGTATTTCGTATTTCCGTAGTGATGGATCATTATGTTAGATCCTGTATTTTGTATATGGCCTGTATATGTCTTGTACATGTCATTCAGTTGATGCATGTACCTTTTGTATTCAGGCATGTTGATATGACTATGTAGTATTCAGTTATGTTTCTGTATTGGACTGCATGCTGTTAGATTAGTGGCACAAAGCCAAATTCTGCATGCGCCCATGGATGAGTATCTGATTATATTGCATGACTGGTACTTCTGAATATGAATATTATTGAAACTGTCTATCAGGAACTCTTGGGAGTGGGATTGAAAAATCCCCAGTTGTCCGATTTACAGAGGTTACTCTGTCCGATTTTTGGTTATACTTTGTATGAAGCTAAGAAGAAAAAGAAAAAGTTAGTCCGTATTTCCGTAAGATAAGTCTTCCGCTGTATCTGTTTATATCATATGTATGTTAATTGAACCGGCTCGAGACGGGGATGTTACACCCGAGGTACTTTTTTTTTTTTTAACTTTGTTTTCCCACTACTCTTTTTGTTCACCACCCTGTTTGCTACACAAGAAAGTGATGAAAAAAAGAAGAAGTTGAATACCCTTTAACATTTGTGTTAACATTTTCATTTTCTTGCGGTCCACCTTCCATGCTTACGTTATTAGCAATCGTTGTAGACTTGCAATGTAAGTTCTGTTTAATAATGGATTTTTAAAAAAAATAAAATAAAATTCCTGGTATAATGAAATAGTACTTCTTGAACTACACACTGATTGGAATTTTTTTTTTGAGATATTACATTGTAACGGAATGAACCAATATTTGGTTCTTGTTTTTGTCATGTCATAGGTATACCTACTTTTTGCTGCAGTTGGTGCTGTTCTTGGGATATGTACTTTGCAACTTGTTAGGAATATATGGACCAATCCTGAAGTCAGGTATACATCTTTTTTATTTTATTTTTTTAAATTTATCCGGGTTGGAATAACCTTTTTTATTTGGGTTCATCTGTCACCGATCCCAATTAATTTGGGATAAAGGTGTTGTTGATGTTGATGTTGATCCGGGTTGTAATAACTGCATGAAGGTTTTAATTGTGACACCTTGCAAAATTTCCAAATTCCTCATTCATGATTAGCACACTTCTAATGGCTTAGCTATGTATCTTTCATATTTCCAAAAAAAAAAGCTATGTATCTTTCATATACTTCTCTTGCCTCCATGATTTTTGGTTTGGGCTACTTTTGATTTTATTCATACTTTATCTTGCTGTAAGGATATTATATTTTATTGAGATGTTTGCCTCCTTAATTTTTGGATATATTTGCTTTCCAGGTTAAGCAAAGAGAAGCGAAGTGCAGGAGTGCTAGAGAACTATGCTGAGGGTGAGGCATATGCTGAACATGGCCTGAGAAAGTTCCTCCGCAAGAGAGACCCTCAGGTTATGCCATCCCTCAACAAGTTCTTCTCTGATCCAGAATAATACATAGGCAAAGCTTCTACCATATGTATGAAAAGCTTTCCGCCCTCAGTTAGAAATTGATTCCTGAGACTTATTTTCAGCATTTGGGTATGGTGAACTGAGATGTAGGACAAATAATTTGATGTTAAAGGATATATATAAGGATTTTGCAACTTCTTAATGGATGAAATCCAAATTGTCCAATAATGAAGTCCTACAATTTTATGTAATAAATTTTTTTTCTATACTTTTCATTTATGAAAGGTTTTCTACAATGTTGTTTTTTAGTTCAAGGAATAAAAGTTTAGGACTTTGCAATTGGAGCATTTAGTGTGAGATATGAGAATGGGCATCCAAAAGAATGGATATAAAAAACCAGGTCTGTTGATGCCTCCTCCAGGGCTCTTAAGTTGAAATTTTGGAGTTTTCACTAACATTATCAACAATTTTGAATGAAATCAGTACACAAAGCTACGGAAATTGTTGAGATATATAAAATCGTTAAAAAACCCTCATTCACTGGCTTAAGCTTTTGGGTTGAATTGGTTCTTCACATGGTATTAAAGTCTCGGTGTACTGGGTTCGAACCTCACCGCCCTCCACTTTCTTTTTAGTGGAATTTCTTTCTTTGCACAGGTAGGTGGGTCTGTGGACACGAGACACGACACGACACGCAGACACGTTAATTTTAAAAAATGTCATATTTCGACACTTTGGGACACGTTTTGATATTAAATAATTTTTTTAATATATAATATAATTTATATTTAATACATATAACAGCCCATAATAAGTCATATAAACAATCAAATTTCATAACATAAATATAAACAAAAATAATTTTTCGTACCTTGTTAATTTTTTATGTCAAATTTCATAACAGAAAAAATTGATTTATAAATTATTTTTTTATGTTTAGTTAATAAAATAAAATAGGATACCAATAAATAAATAAATAAATAAAATTTAGACTAAAAAAAAAAACGTGTCGGAACGTTGACCGCGTGTCGGAAAAAGTTGACTGCGTGTCGAAAAAGCGTGTTTGAACGTGGATCGCATGTCCCAAAATGTTGATCACGGACGCATATCGGAACGTGTCGGAGCATGTCGGTGTCCGACACGCACAAATTTTGAAAAATAGCGTGTTCGTGCTTGTTAGTTGAGATATATAAAACCATTAAAAAGCCATCACCCACCAGCTTAAGCTTTTCGGTTGAATTGGTTCTTTACAGAAATAATCATTAATTGCAAGATTTATATAGTTTGAAAAAGGAAAAATTAGTAAGAAAATCAGTCAAGCTTGTGACAAAAGAACAGCAACAAGCATATTATCTGGAGCCACCAATCAATATAGACCTTCCTCTTTAAGTTATTAATGTAATGAGTCAGGATTTCTTGAGTTGATGTCCATTGCCAGAACCAATCCTGGTCAACATTGGGCCTACCTTTTCTCTATGTACAATATATGTGTGGTGGTCTGCTACTGCCATACTACTCAATATAATGACTTCTACCTGTCCTCATTATTTATCTTCTTTTGACAGTTGTTTTGGGGAGATCTCCTCAAAAATTCTGAGATCAACTTTGAAAAAGAAAAAGAATTGTTAGGTAACAATTGAGCTGGTTGATCATACACCATAATTGTCCCTGTATATATTAGAATAGTAGTTGTTGTAAATAGTGTCATAGAGGTTACATGTGTTTGTATCTCTCATTTGATTTGATATATAAATGAAATCTCCTTCGTGTAGTTAACACAAAGATTACAATCAATACCTCTTGTATCTTGATAATTAATATGGTATCTAGAGCCTAACAAGAGGAATCCTAATCCGTGTCTTTCCGGTGGATCACTGTCCGCTGAGTAAATTTTTTTTTTTGGAAAACTGTCATATCTGTAAGTTTCCGGCTTCCATCTATCGTCTAAGAACCTATCTGATGACTGTCGCTGTCAGGAGCCACCATTGACCGCCGTTGACTGCCGTCTCCGACAACTTTTCCGGCGAACCATCCACGGTTCTGATCGCCACGACGAGGCGGTCCTCTCTGTCCAGGACCCACCTCCAGATTCTCCTTCACGCGCGTGAGACAGCCACTGCAGTCCGTTTTCTTGCAGCGGCACGTGGAGGCTCGTGCAACTCCGGCTTCACGTCGAACCACCACGGTTCACCTCGTCGTCTCCTTGCGCACCTGGATCTGTCCTCACTTTGTGGTTTTGACCTCGTTACGGCTTCCCACAACATTTTTTCCCTTGTTGGTTACTATTCACGCGTGTTTCTTTGCTTTCTGTTACTGTTCATCTTTGTTTCAGGTAACCTATGGCTGATTCGTCACTCCACGATGCATCCAAGGGTTCTCAAAAGAATGACACGCCTGTCGTCTCCGCAAATCCTTGTATGGTCTCAAGCAGTCTCTCCGGGCTTGGTTTGGAAGGTTTAGCACTGTTGTACAGCAGTTTGGCATGACTCGGAGTGAGGCTCATCACCCAGTCTTTTATAAACACTCTGATTCAGGTTCTACTTATTTGGTGGTATATGTTGATGATATTGTCATTACAGGTAATGATCATCATGGCATAACTCAGATAAAACAACATCTCTGCCATCATTTTCAAACAAAGAACCTTGGAAGACTCCGATATTTCTTAGGGATAGAAGTGGCCCAATCCAAAGATGGCATTGTACTATCACAGAGAAAATATGCTATGGATATTCTTGAGGAGACAACTCTGTTGAATGCTAAGCCCGTCGATACTCCTATGGATCCAAATGTCAAGCTTTTGCCAAATCAGGGGGAGCTATTTTCAGATCCAGAAAGGTATAGAAGATTGGTTGGGAAACTGAACTATCTCACAGTTACTCAACCAGACATTTCCTTTGCATTCAGTGTAGTAAGTCAGTTCTTGAATTCTCCTTGTGAAGATAACTGGAATGCAGTAATCCGTATTTTCAAGTACATCAAGACTTCTCCAGGCAAAGGTCTCCTCTATGAAAATATAGGTCATACCAGAGTTGTGGGATACTCAGATGCTGATTGGGCAGGTTCTCTCATTGATAGAAGATCCACCTCTGGGTATTGTGTATTCGTTGGAGATAACTTGATTTCCTGGAGAAGTAAGAAACAAAGTGTAGTTGCTAGATCAAGTGTTGAAGCAGAATATCGCTCCATGGCCACAGCCACCTGTGAACTCATCTGGTTAAAACAACTACTGAAGGAACTCAAGTTTGGAGACACTGGCCCAACATCTCTCATTTGTGATAATCAAGCTGCTTTGCATATTGCTTCAAATCCAGTGTTTCATGAAAGGACTAAGCACATTGAGATAGACTGTCATTTCATTAGAGAAAAGGTTCTCTCAGGAGATATAGTCACTCGTTTTGTCAACTCAAATGATCAATTAGCCGATGTATTCACTAAGTCTTTGAGAGGACCTAGGATAGATCAGATATGTAACAAGCTTGGTGCATACGATCTATATACTCCAACTTGAGGGGGAGTGTTGTTGTAAATAGTGTCATAGAGGTCCCACATTGTGTATATGTCTCTGTATCTCTCATTTGGTTTGATATATAAATGAAATCTCCTTCGTGTAGTTAACACAAGGATTACAATCAATACCTCTTGTATCTTGATAATTAAGCGTAGTGCTTATCAGCTCCAAGTTTACACAAAGGGGTGCATTAATATGCTACCATACTTCAGTAATAAGATAAATATGATCAGGGGCAGTAATCAAAGTCAACGGGACTAGTAGTTATGTACCCCAAAGTCCCTGGATGCAATCTGGAACTACAGGAGAAAATATATTTTTGGAAAGGAAATGAATAATGACTTTTATAAAAATGTTTTGGATGGCTGTGCCTTGCACCATACTCCTAGTTGAGGAGAGGGGCATATACTTAAGTGGAGGGCAGAAACAGCGGATTCAACTGGCAAGGGCTGTTTACAATGATGCAGATATTTATTTCCTTGGGGGATCCTTTCAGTGCTGCTGATGCTCATAAGAACAGGAGCCCCCAATCTATATTGACCTTCCTCTTTAGGTTGTTGATGTAATCAGTCAGGATTTCTTCAGCTGCTGTCTATTGCCAGAATTATCATGGTCCACATTGGCCTTGTTAAAGAATAATATAATATAATAAAAGTGTAATCACCTAACATCTTTAAGCTTTTGGAATAAATTGATTCTTTAAATGATATCAGAAATTTACAATCTAAGGATCTATAGTTCTACTTTTGCCATCTTCATTCTTCAATCCTACTGAACTCTTGGTGTGAGAGGTCTGTTTAAGGAATAATATAATATAATAAAAGTACACTCACCTAACTTTTGGGTTAAATTGGTTATTTTCATGCCTAACTTTTTCTCTATGTACAATAAGTGTATGGCGGTCCACTACTGCTATACTATATCCTCCTTAAAATAAATGACTTCTGTCTGTCCTCAGTCTTTATCTTTTTTAGCAGTTGTTTTGTGATGATCTCCTCAAAAATTCTGACACCAACTTTGAGAACGAAGAAGAATTGTTCTGTAGCAATTGAGCTGGTTGATCATACTCCATGACTGTCCCTGTATACAAAAGAAAACTAGTGCTTATCAGCTCCAAGTTTACACACAAAGGGGTGCATTAATATGCTACCATACTCGATGAAACTTAAGTTAGATTCGATTTCGCACCAGACCTATTTTCAGCCCCTACCTACCCAGTTAATTTTTTTTGGATTATGAGGTAATATGTTTTCCTAGGTTTCATTATCACTGATGTTATGATCACATATATTGAAATACATACTGAGTCTTCTAGTACCTTTATCAAGGACCAAAACCAAATCATTATCAATTACAGTAGGAATTCTATGTGCTACTGTAATGACTGTGCATCCACTTGTTTCTTCCCTTATAGTCTTCTGAATTAAATTATCAGTTGCAGTGTCAATGGATGCCGTTGCCTCATCTAGGACCAAAATTCTTCTTTTCTTCAGTAGCAGTCTAGCAAGGCAAACAAGCTGTCTTTGTCCAACACTCCAATTTTCTCCATTCTCCGCCACTGCACCAATGTACAAATTTAATGAATATTTCATATCAATTAACAGTTTTTTTTTTATTATTATTATTATTTTTTATGTCACTAGAATTTTGGAAGGGATGGGGTTATTACAATTATACTCCTGAATGATGTAATTTTTTTTAACAATATATTTGTACCTGGTGCATCAAGAAGCCGTGGATCCTGCCTTACTATTTCAGCCAGATGGCACTTGCTGAGAACCTGAAAATAGTAGTTTTTTCAGTAGTGTTCAAAATATTGGCATTTTGAAGAAAGTATTCTAACTTCTAATACTAACCTCCCAAAGTTCTTGATCTCCATGTTGTTCAAGAGGATCCAAGTTCGTCCTTACAGTACCTAGAAACAAGGTTGGATCTTGAGGAATTATACCAAGCTTAGATCTTAAATCTTGTAGACCAATCTTGGAAATATTTACACCATCAACAAGTATGCATCCTTCCAAAGGCTCCACCACTCGAAAGAGGGCTTGCAACAGAGTAGATTTTCCACTCCCTGTCCTTCCTACTATTCCAATTTTCTTTTGTCCTGGGAAGATGCAAGTGACACCCTTGAGAATCATTGGAGCAGCAGGATCATACCGTATATGAAGGTTATGAAGTTCAATTTTTCCCTCCCTAGGCCACTCTGGTTCAGGCCTACAATCTTGAATAATTAATGGCGCTTCACTTGGTATCCTAGAGAATTGTAATATTCTCTCAACTGATATCATTTTGTTCTCAACATTGCAAAGATTCCATATCACCCAAGCCTGAAGGACATTCAAGTTTAAACCATAAGTAGCTACCAGACCAGCCAAGCCTGAAAATGAGATCAAGCAATTAATTATTGGAGATGTAAAACCAAAATTTCTATTTGATGCCACTTTGGAATCTGATATACTAGTTAGTGGATCCAATCTTAAATATTTCTTTTGCGCTTTAACAAGTATTTTAAATTGAGTAAGAATTATAGAGATTGTTATTTGTTAAAGAGAGAAAGAAAAGAGAAACATGCTAAATTTGTGTGTTCCAACTACACACCACATTCAATATTTATATAATGATTGTGATGAATACGAAGATACTATTTTTCTAATTAGCATATTGACACGATACACGTTCAGCTTAAGTTGTTGGGTGAAGCTATATTAATAGTTTTATATATCTCAACACGTCCCCTCACATGAGGACCCACTGGGCACAGTGGGGGTGGTGAGGATCGAACCCGGTCTCTGATACTATATAAAGAACCAATTCAACTCAAAAGCTTAAGCTGTTGGGTGAGGCTACATTAATGATTTTATATATCTCAACAATGTACAATCACCGCGTACCTCTATTACATGTGAGAATCATGGCATAACATTCACATTTAGAAGGATTAAGTACGAAAAAGCTATTTATCTTCAAGATTATTTTTCATTTCGGTTGTAAAGTCACAAACAATTGCAAACCAAGGTTAATCATGAACTTGTCTCTATGCTTCCTTGGAGTTTCTTAATTACTAATAGAAAATTGGTTCTCATATACATGTATGTAACCGCTATCACTGGTGACAAGATGAAAGGGGGAAGAAGAAGCTTACTTGGATCGATGGCAGACCTTGGCAGAGTCACCAAGATGACAAGAACAAAATAAAAGACCAGATTGAAGAGGAAATTGATTCGGACAGACAACCATTCCATGGTGGCATAATTGTGAAAGGCTACCCGAGAATAATCATCAATTAGAGCCATAACTTTGGTCAAGAACATTTTCTCTTGATTGAAACAACGGATTGTGGAAGCCCCAGCAATTGATTCTGAGAAGTGATGCAAGATTGGTGCCTTCCGAATCCCTACCATCCTGGCTAATTCCCTGGCGGTAGAGATGTAATAAGCCTGCAAAAATATGCAACTTCTTTCATCATTAGAATACTTGATTGAGTCATGCAAGAGTGAGCACATGCAATGATTTATGACAAAATGAGTCTTCAACATGACATGAACTGACATATAATCTTTTCTTTTCTTTTCATACGTTGTAAGATCTTGATAAGAAAATTTCTTACATTATCAAAGATTGATAGTACTTACCTGATACCAGACAGAGATAGCAAGCACCACAAAAAAGAGGAGAATGACTTGCCAGGCAACCTGGGACATTAGCACGATGATACTCAATAATTGGATAAGTGCAAATACTAGTCCAGCTAATCTGTATGGTATGTCTGTGTCTACTGTACTTTGATCCGTAGATGACTGTAATCATTACAAAGAAAATGGTTGAAATTTGAATAAAACTGATTAATCAAAAGAAAGCAATGATGTATCAAATAGAGAATAATAGTGAAACTAACCCTACTCAGAATTCGGCTTGAAGGTGTGGTGTCAAAAAATGAAACAGGTGCCCTGAAAACGGACGTGATCATTCCATGAAAAAGACGCTGAGCAGTTTCAACGGCAACTTTTGCCATTAAAACAGTCCTTCCCAGTATGAAGATGGAGCTGCCACCAGACAGAAGAACAAATATTCCCATAAGCTTCCCTTTGTTGACCTTGCCCCTCTCTTCTGTGGCCCAAGAAATCCAATAATTGCTTCCCATCTGCATAACTTGAAAGAGAATTTGACAAAGAAGAATGACAGGAACAAGTGCTCCTCTATAAGCTGAAGTGACAAAGGTTGAGTAGACACTCCATTTCACTCGACCAGTCTCTGCTTCCTCTTCTTTGGTTCTCTTACAATCCTTGTTGGTCTCTTGGATATTTTCTTCAGCAACTTCAATTTGATTTTTTTGGTAGGGTCTGCAGCTAACAGAATCATCTTCTTGGCATGGATTTATTTGGTTCACTGTTTCTTCATGAGCAGCCATTTGCTGAACAAATTCACAATTGGGACATCCTATGAGATCTTTATACCTTCCTGACTCTACTATTTTTCCATCTTTCATTACCTGCCAAAAATTATATTAATGGTGAGAGACGTAGGAAATCAGGATTCAAATATTTTTCATTTTTATTTCCTATTAATTAGGATTGATTGATTGATTAGTCATCGCTGAGTCATTTTTAGCTATTCAGTCTTGTATAAATACTCCTTATGTAATTTATTCAAATTAATACAAAGAAATACAAAATTCTTTATGGTATCAAGAGCGGGTTCATTCCTACCCTAAATCAGCCATCTTCAAGGCTGAAATACCGTCCAAACACCATCAAAAACACCTCCTCACTTTTGTCCAAACCTAGAAACCTTATCTACAGACCTCCAATCAAGAAAGTGACCATTCGACTTAGAAGGCTCCGACGAGTTGAACGCCACTGGACCCATCACCGTCAGCCACTGCACGCGCCATCACACGCGCGGCCAGCCTCCGGCGCGTGAGCTCCACGCGCCACCTTCCCGGCGTCTTTTTCCGCCGCGACTTGCACAGAACCTCTCACCGACGTCTCCCTTCCTGTTCCAGAAATCAGATCTGAAAAAACAAAAACTTGATTTTTTCATCCACGGTCAAATCCTCTCTCTTCCTTCATTTCTTCCTCAGAGCGTTCTTCTGCTTCCTTATCTGTTCCCAATACTCAGTCCTCTGGAGACAACTTAAGTATGCAGATTACTAGTCACCGGTTGAACGGTAAAAAATTTCTACAATGGTTTCAATCTGTTAAGTTGGTTATCCGGGCAAAAGGTAAGATGGGTTATCTTGAGGGAAAAATTAAGAAACCTGCTGAGGATTCTCCTGATTATGAAAATTGAGAGATTAATAATTCCTTGATAATGGCATGGCTGACTAATTCCATGGAACCACATATTGGCCAAACCTATTTGTTCTTCGATACTGCCAAGGAGATTTGGGATGTTGTTCAACAAAATTATTCAGATGTGGAGAATACTTCTCAGGTCTTTGAACTGAGAAATAAGTTGAGAGACTTTCGTCAAAGGGGTATGACTATTACTGAATATTTTACTGCACTAACAAATTTATGGCAGGAACTGGATCTTTATTATGCATCCGATCTTAAAGGATTGGAAGCGAATACCCAGTTTAAAAAACACTTGGAGAAGGAAGGACTTTATGATTTCCTTGCTGGCCTCAACCGAGATCTTGATGAGGTTCGTGGTCGAATATTGGGGCAACGACCGTTACCCTCACTTGCTAATGCTTTTGCTGAAGTTCGTAGAGAAGTAATTAGGCGGAGAGTTATACTGGGAGAAAATGAGTCAATTGATAAGTCTGATGATATGTCTGCATTGGCTGCCAAACGTACCACTGACAGTTCCTCTGGAGAATCAAAACGAGATGGTCGTCCATGGTGCACCCACTGCAATAAAATTGGTTATACCTGTGAGAAATATTGGAAATCCACGGGAAACCTGCAAATTGAAAGCCAAAAGGACAGAATAAAGGTCGTGCATATCAGGTCTTTACTGATGACAAGGTTGATGAGCCTCGTGCATCCTCTGACTCTGATGGTGTCTTTCTTAGCAAAACTCAGTTTGAACAACTTCAGAGACTTCTGACTCAACCTCCTGAGGCCACTAGTAATGTGGCCCAGCAAAGTACAACTTTCCATGTTGATAGTCAAAATCATTGGATCTTTGATTCTGGAGCCTCTGACCATATGACAGGTAATCCGAGCTTGTTCTGTTCATACACTCCATACTCTGAACCCTCTCGGGTCAAGATCGCCGATGGCAGTTTTTTCCAGATTGCAGAACATGGAACCATTAAACTCTCTGAGCTGATTAATTTAACATCAGTTATTTATGTTCCTTCTCTGGCTTGTAATCTCATTTTCATAAGCAAGATGACTTCTGAGTTGCATTGTTTTGCTAAACTCTTTTCTCATGGTTGTGTTTTTCAGGAACATGACTCGGAGAGGATGATTGGCAGTGCTAGAGAGGATGGTGGACTTTACTACTTTGAGGAGGATGTGACTCATAAAGCTGTTTTTGTGGAAAAATACTCTATGTTTCCTTTTGATTCATGTAATGATGTTATGTTGTGGCATCGTAGGCTAGGCCATCCAAATTTTATCTATCTTCAGAAGTTGTTACCAAACTTATTTATTAATAAGTCCTAGTTTGTTTTCTTGTGATATTTGTCAACTTGCCAAGCATACTCGTGTTCATTATCCTTCTAAAGTTCACCATGATTCTTCCCCATTTTCTTTATTTCATAGTGACATATGGGGTCCAGCTCGTAAAGAATATTTCAGGTGCTCGATGGTTTATTACCTTTATTGATGACCATTCCCGAGTTTGTTGGGTATACCTTCTAAAGGACAAGTCAGATGCTGCATCCATTTTTAAAAAGTTTCATGCCATGGTTCAAACCCAATTCCAAGTTGCTATACAAATTCTTACAGATAATGGCAAAGAGTATTTTAACTCTATTCTTGGAGAATATCTTTCCCAACATGGCATCCTTCACCAAAGCTCGTGTCCTGACACACCCCAACAAAACGGAGTTGCGGAAAGAAAAAACTGACTTCTCCTTAAAGTTGCTCGGGCTCTTAAATTCACTATGAGTGTTCCTAAATACCTTTGGCGGGAAGCCAGTCTCACTGCCTCGTATCTGATCAATCGAATGCCATCTCGCATTCTCAAATTTCAGTCTCCTCTTTCTAGTCTTTTCCGCACCTTCCCTTCCTTCCGAGACGACTCCTCCTTACCTCTCAAGTTATTTGGTTGTGTTGTATTTGTCCATATTCCCTCTCATCAATGGTCTAAGCTTGATCCTAAGTTTCTCCGGTGTGTCTTTGTTGGTTATTCTTCTACTCAACGTGGCTATAAGTGTTATTCACCCTCTCTTCGTAAGATTTTTGTCTCTATGGATGTCAGCTTTTCTAAGACTCAATTTTTCTTTCCTTTGACTTCTCTTCAGGGGGAGTCTATAGGAGCAGATGAAGATTAGTCATTGGAACCTACTGATGCCACAATATTACCTCTACTATTGGAAACAGGGGGAGCTACAGCATCCTCACCGTCCGGAGCCTCCTCAAAGTGGGGACAAGTTTATAGCAGGCGAAAGCCTCCTCAAAGTGTGAATTGAAACGTCCGGCCGCTTCAAGAATCAATGACTATCCCCACATACTAACATGAGACTTTTCAGTGTGCTTTTTCCTCACTCGCACACTTCCCGGGAAAACTTCCCAGGAGGTCACCCATCCCAGAATTGTTCCAAGTCAAGCACGCTTAACTGTGGAGTTCTTCCGATCCGGGCTACCGAAAAGCAGATGCATCTTGTTAGCATAGGTAGTACCAATTAATTCTTATAAGTTATCCCAAACTGTGCAGTCTTATACCTGCACAGCCTTTGGAATCCCTCTCTTTCGGGTGTCGATTCAATTCATTCATGCATGTAACCCCCTGCTGGAAGCCTGTCAGGAGCCGCTCCTTGTCCATGCCTCTTTGCACCGGCGATCACTCCTCACCCTTGTCAGCGCTCGGGATGTTACATGAATAATCCAGAGCCTCTACACTGCCAGGATTCTGAACCAAGTTCTAGTTCCAGCACTCCAATACTTGAGTTCCATGATAAAAATGATCTACACTTGCCTATTGCTCTCAGAAAAGGTACTCGATCTTGTACTACTCATCCTATTTCTAATCATATTTCATATGAAAAGTTGTCCCCAGGGTTCCGTGCTTTCAATACTATGTTGGATAACAAAGATACCGAGAAATATACATGAGGCTCTCAATGATAAAAAATGGAGGGATGCTGTCCTTAAAGAAATGAATGTTTTAGAAAGAAATGGAACTTGGGAGATAGTGACTCTACCAAAGGAAAAACAGGCAGTAGGATGTAAATAGGTATTTACAATAAAATTCAATGCAGATAATAGCATCAACAGATACAAGACAAGATTGGTTGCAAAGGGATTCATGCAGACTCGTGAGATAGATTATCATGAGACTTTTGCTCCAGTTGCTAAAGTCAATACCATCCGAGTTCTCTTATCAGTTGCTGCCAACCTAGATTGGCCTCTGCAACAGTTACATGAAGAGGTCTATATGGATCCTCCACCTGGTTTTGAAAAAGGAAATGGATCAGTGTGTAAACTAAAAATGTCTCTATATGGGTTGAAACAGTCTCCTAGAGAATGGTTTGACAAATTCGCACAAGCTGTCAAAAGAAGAGGCTTCATTCAAGCACAGATTGATCATACTCTCTTCCACAAACACTCTAAGGATGGTAAAATTGCTGTTCTTATTGTGTACGTTGATGATATAATTCTTACAGGTGACGATAGTGAGGAATTGAACTCCTTGAAGAAGTATCTAGCAGCTCAGTTTGAACTGAAGGATCTTGGAACTCTCAAATATTTCCTTGGTATGGAAGTTGCTAGGAGCAAATCAAGCATCACTCTCACACAAAAGAAATATGTTCTAGATCTTTTGTTGGAAACAGGAATGTTAGGGTGTAAGCCTGTTGAGACACCTGTGGAACCTAATACCAAGTTAGGTATTGAAGATGGGAATGAAGTGGATAAAGAACAATATCAGAGATTGGTTGGCAAACTAATTTACTTATCTCACACGCGACCTAACATTGCCTTTGCAGTGAGTATGATTAGTCAATTTATGCATTCACCCAAGGAGAAACATCTTAGTGCAGTCTATAGGGTGCTTAGATACCTCAAGAACACTCCAGGAAGAGGATTATCCTTCAAAAAGGGGTATAAAAGGACGATTGAAATCTACATTGATGCAGATTGGGCAGGCTCATCAGTAGACAGGAGATCTACCTTAGGCTATTGCACCTATGTGTGGGGAAATCTTGTTACTTGGAGAAGCAAAAAGCAAACAGTGGTTGCAAGAAGTGCTGAAGCAGAATTTCGAGCTTTAGCTCATGGAGTTTGTGAAGGAATCGGGTTGAGAAGACTTCTTCAAGAGTTGAAGATTTCATATTCCCTACCAATAAAACTATATTGTGACAACAAGGCAGCTATCAGCATTGCTCAAAATCATGTGCATCATGATCGAACAAAGCACGTGGAAGTTGATCGCCACTTCATCAAAGAAAAATTAGATGATGGAAGTGTGCGTATGATGTATGTTCCTACCAAAGAGCAGACTGCAGATATCCTTACCAAGGGCCTACACCGTCCAACATTCGAAGACTTGATTGGCAAGTTGGGAATGATCAATACTTACCTCCCAACTTGAGGGGGAGTGTAGGAAATCAGGATTCAAATATTTTCCATTTTTATTTCCTATTATTTAGGATTGATTAGGATTGATTGATTAGTCATCGCTGAGTCATTCTTAGTTATTCAGTCTTGTATAAATACTCCTTATCTAATTTATTCAAATTAATACAAAATTCTTTAAGAGGTAACACTAGTAGTAATTTCATCAGTGAAAGACAAGTGTTCAGTAGTAGCTTACTAATATGACATCTGCGGCTTCCAAGAATTCCAGTTGATGTGTAGCATAAACAACCGTTTTATCGTATAAAAGTTTCATAAGACATTTCTGCACAACATTTCCACTTTTTGGTGAATTTCATTGAAGGATATAAAAGTGAATTCAGAAAGTGCATGAGTGAAAAAAGCATAAGAACAATAACCATTAGCAATACTAACCTTAAACAAATGAGTTCCAGTATGAGCATCAACAGCACTGAAAGGATCGTCAAGGAAATAAATATCGGAATCATTGTAAACAGCCCTTGCCAGTTGAATCCGCTGTTTCTGCCCTCCACTTAAGTTTATGCCCCTCTCCTCCACCAGAGTCAAATCTCCTTCCCCCCACATGATGATATCCTGATGCAAAGCACAGACATCCAGAACTTTTTCATAAAAGTCATTATTCATTTGCTTGCCAAACAATATATTTTCTCTTATAGTTCCAGCCTGAATCCATGGACTTTGGGGCACATAACTTCTTGTCCCGTTGACTTTGATTACTGCCCCAGAAACTAAAGGAATCTCACCAAGCATACAGCAGAGCAAGCTTGATTTTCCAGACCCCACTGACCCACAAACTGCTACCTTCTGACCTGTTTTTATCATTAACTTTTCTGTAATTCGAATTGTTGGTTTCTTGTGGGCTTGATTATTTGTTTCCCATGAATATTCACCTGGCTTGATTTCAATAGCAATTGCTGAGTTTTTTAAAGCATGCTTATTCATGAATTGGTTTTGATCCTCTTCCTCAATAAACTCCTGGACTCGATCAACAGATACTTTTGTTTGAGCTATCATGGAAATAAGCTCAGGTAAGTTGTAGATTGGTTCTTGTAAAATTCTAAAAGTTGCTAAAGCTGAGAGGACTGTAGCTGCTGTTAGTTCAGTTTTCACCAATATACAAGCACCAAAAGTTACTACAGAAACTAAAGTTGGAGATACCCAAAATAGAGTGGCTACTGCTGAGCATGTGTAGAGGTATCTCTGCAGCCAACTCCTCTCTGTGTCCCTGAATTGGAGGAGTTTCTGCAAGAATGTTGATTCCCATGAATGCAATTTTAAAATTCTGATGTTCTTCATGGTCTCTGAAGTCACTTTGATTCTAGAATCTTTAGCTTCCATGATCTTGGAATGCAAACTTTCTTGCATATTGGCCAAAGGTGTGTTGCACACCATGACCAAAATGGTGACAGCAAGTGCAGCAATGGAAGGGGTAAACCCCAGATTTATGTATAAGATTACCAAGGCCAAAATGACCTGAACTGGAAGCAACCAAATTCCATGAATGTACCAACAGAAGTCTCCAATTCTTTCAACATCCACATTGATCAAATTTATTGTATTACCGTGTGTTGGTCCAGCACACTTAATCAATAAGGACTTGCTATATATTAGAGCCATAAGAGCTGCACGCACCTGAATTCCAATTCGTTGAGCACCAAAGTACCATTGTCTTTGACTCAGTGACTCCACCGTCTTTGAGAGGAAGAAAATAAATGCAAGAATCAGTCCATAATGGATGCTTGAATTATCATTATTCCCCAATAAAAAATTCACAAAGTTTGTGATCAACAATGGACCTATATATGAAGCAATTGTGTTAACACCTACAAATATAAACAAAATAAAAAAATTAGTAATCTGTAAATGAATGACTAAATGTTGCATAGAAGTACATAAAATCCAAAGAGGACCAGTAGTTGTGAGATTAAATAAAACAAACCTGCTAAAACTGCATTTATGGCCAAGGATTTCCATATAGAATGGGTAATAGCTTTTGTCAAGGAACCCCCTTCAAGTTTCTGTTTGCGAAGCGATTCTTCCAACATGGAAGAAGCATGTTCTGCCGTTTCAGAATGAGGAACAGAAGGAATATGAGCAAGTTCAAGTTTCTGAATTCGAGCCCTACTAAAAATGGGGTTCAGCCATCGGAATGTGAGTTTGTTCCACATGCTTGCGTTTGTGAAGACCTCTTCATCTTCTTCCCATGAAGATTCCAACTCTTTATGAAACAACCTTTGCTCCATATCACTTTGTTCCCTTGCACATACATTTGGCAATGCATTGAAACAGAGAATTAACAACAACAAAGGCAAGGAAACCATATCAACTATGTTATCCTCTGACAAAAAAAACCACAAGTTCAAGGATTCGAGATTTTTTACTACTTCTAGAGACACACTAAGTATGTCTATGATACTGGAGAAGACCCACCATAGAATTAGAACAAGGGGAAACCTTTTATTCTCTCTGAGTGTTCTCTTCATTGAATAAAATGAAACTATAGTTGCCAAAACCCAAGTTAGAGCCGAGGAAACAGAGTTACATCCTATGACTCTCCGAGTGGTGTATTCATAAAAAGCAAGAGCCATGTTCAAAACGGAAATAACAGCATTAGAGAGAACAGTGATTGTGGCGAAAAACGTTGGCTTCAAATATACAACATCGTTACGCTTGCTTTGTCTCAAACTATCAACCAAAATCCATATCAAAATCCCATAGAAGAATGCCACATTCACCATTCCCAACAGAGCATCCAAAATGGCCATGGTTTCAAGTTAATCCTACTTTTCTCACTCACTGAGTGATGCTGTAATAACACTGAAGAAAAAATGACAGAATCTGCAGAATGTAGTGAATGCCTTGATCAATTCCTTGAATGAAAATAATAATAATAAATGGACAAGTTAAGCATATGACATATTAGTCTTCAAAGTTGAAAGAAATGCCTAACCTGTGGAAGAATTTGCAAGTGACTGCAAGGGAGAGGCGAGTGATGTATACTTACACATATAGTAAACTTCTCATACTAAATTAGCATGAAAGTATATTAGTACCTTGCCATTAAAATAATTTTTTAAATATTTATTTATTTTATTGGTATATACAATAGTTATTAACTTTATATGCAAGGGGATCTAGTTGTACTACAAAGGGCAAGCGTTTACCTTTAAAATATGATGTAAAAATATAAAAATACCCTTAGTTTAAAATTTAAATTTTTCCAATTTAATTTTGGGATAGGATATTGTAATAACCAATTAGGGTTACTACCAATTTTACTAATAATCAATTTCACCGTTAGATCGACTATGTTGATCCGACGAATATATTTATTTTCATCTTTATATGGTTATGATTCTTAATATTTAATACTTTATATTTATTTTCACTTATGTATAGTTATAATTTTTCATATTTAATGCTTTTACATTAAATATAGGGATCATAATCATACAAAGATGAAAATAAATATAATTGTTTGATCAACATAATATATTTAACGATAAAATTGATTGGTAGTAATATTGGTAGTAACCCTAGTTGGTTATTATGCTATCATATCCCTTTAATTTTTCTCGTTCTATTTTTTTCGTGAGTTTTTTTTTCTCCTTCACTTTCATTATCCAAACCTAACAGAGAGAGCTCTATTCCAGACACATCGTTTGCATCTACATACTTATTCATCTCCTCTCAAACCTCAATCTACGTTATTGAAAGTTGGAACATTTGCTTCTTCTTTCATAGTTGAGTCACAATCCGTCTAGATCTAGATTTTAACCAGACTCAGCTAGTTGACAGCAGCTGTTCGCAAATCACATTCAAGACCAGACCCAAATCTATATGAACTTAAATTTATTAAGTGTCCATCCTTCGTTAATTTTCTGAATATGTAATGTAAGAATTTCTTCCTCGATTTATCCCTTTAGTCTTGCACGTGATATTTCCTACCATAAATAATCAGTACTATCATCGTCTAATCTTGCAGCAAAATATGTACTACAATATTTATTTGTTTGAAGGAAAAAAAAAAAAAAAGGGTGTCTTAGAGTTATTTGAATTTATATATATTTTAAGGGTAAAAGATTTCTTCAGAGATAAGTTATCTTCAGTGAGCTCAAAACAACGTTATTTTGAGGCAGAAATTAAGGTGTTTTTATAATTGTAATATATTACAGGGTTATATTAGTATTTATTTTTATAATTTTTTAATCTTATGACCTAAAATAACGTCATTTTAAGCTCACTGAAAATAACTTTATCTTCGGGTGACCGGAGAAAAACTTTTTTCATATTTTAATTATTATTTGGTTTTAATATAGGGTTCACTTTTTCTACAGTCAATGTAGATAACTTATCTACATTGAGCCCAAAACTTTTTGAGGTGAAAATCAAGTTATTTTTATAATTATAATTTATTTCAGGGTTGTAATAGTCTTTTTCATTATAATTTTTTAATTTTTCAACCTAAAACGACGTCGTTTTGAGAATGAATATAAATAACTTATCTACGTTCACTTTAGAAACATTAAACCATTTAATATAAATAGTACGCTCTCTGTCTTGTTTGTTCTGTGATTAATGATTCGCAAGCAATTTAGTTTATCCAGAAAAAGTTATAAAACACGTGCCTATCCTAGATCAAGAGATAAGCGTTTAAAAAAGATAAAGAGTGTTGGAATCTAATCCTCACTGATTTCTCTTATCCTCTTCTCGTTCTCTTTTCTCCTTTTAGTAGGACTCTTCATATACTCCCTTGAACCAAAAGATCAATAATAATTAAAGGGATATGATCCGTTTACAAATATTTTTTGTAAATTATACTAAGTAAGATTGGTTGTACACTATGATTAAAGTATGATCGGTCATATTTATTGTAGTTTGTAAGAATTTATAAACAAATTTTTTTTGTAAATATAACCTGCTCCATAATTAAATGCTTTAAAAGTAATGCGTTCCAAAAAAAATAAAAATTAAATACAAACAATTAATGAACATCACGAATGAAAAGACGCTTGGACTGTTCGACAAATTAGTAAAGCATATTCATTTTACCAAAGTTGATAAAGAAACTTTCAAAATTTCTTTCGACATATTCTAATTTTAATTGAACAATTCACGAGCAAGTAGTGCTGCGCTACCTTGTTACTCTGTCAGTATGTCGGATTGAGCCCTTGCAAACCTGTGATGGATCCTTATCCCATGCATGTATCATGTATGTAGAAAGTGGTGAGAAAACTTTACATAAAAAAAATTATTTACATATATTCCAAATTTAATAGAATAATTTACGACAAGCTAGTAGTACTGCACTAAGGCACTACCTGTTACACATGACGAAAAAGACAAGCATTTTTGTTTTTGTTGTAATAATTTATGTAACTGATTCTGATATTCATTTACACAGCCCACATGGCTAGTCATGTGTCCTATCCTACCCTCTTTTTGGTCCCGGGAGAATGATGCTAGTTTTTTTTTTTTTTTCTGCTTCATTTTTGGCTTTATGGATGGATTTATTAAACACATTTGTGAAATGTCTTATCCATCATATGACTCAAGTCTCAAGCAGTATGATTAGGTTTCGTCATGTGGCTATTGGTTTGGTGCATATTTGATAAGATAAACTTATCCAGCTTGCAATCTAATGGTCTGAGTGAGACTAACTATATATATATTTCGTACCTAGAAATAATAATTTCATTCTATATTCCTGCTTCACCAAAATGTTTGCATGTTTAATAGTAAAGAATTGATATTTCGCATGGTAGGACACATGTAAGTGATACATATTAAGCACTTATCCAGCTTGCAACGTTTAGTGATAGTCACCATGCATGTATGACGTACCCAGGACACCGCTTATAAATATCACTCTCATACTCATCCGAAAGACACACACATCTAGAGAAACAGGCTTTGCTCCACAAGCCAACTTGTCCCACGGAGTGGGACCAGGTTGAGTTTTTTAACTCATCTCAAAAACAGGGTGAGACAGATTTATTTTTTGGTGAGTTGATGACGAATATAAGCGAATTGAGATGGATAAGTATAAAATAAGCTCTGACTCACAAGCCAACCCTTCAAACGGGACGAAACAGAATGAATTTTTTAACTTACTTTCAAAAACGGAGCAGAACGGGACAGGATGAGACGGTCCGGCCGGGCCCACCGCACCCGACCCGCCCCCTTTTTACCTCTACACACTTCCTTCTACACTCTTATAACTTCGTTTTGCTCGTACTCAAATTCTTCAATGACTTACACATCAATATTTATACTCAATTTTGAAGCAGGTGTTAGTGTGTAGTCATAAATTAATTGGACATATTTTTTCATATCAGAAATAAAACGGTGTTTTGAATTATATTTATAAAAGGAAGTATTTTCGGACAATTTGAGATTCGATTAAGATTTAGGAAAGGGAAGAAAACAAAAGGCGAGCTGGTTCTGTCTCCAGGGTCCAGCTCACCATGGTATGGGAGATGAATTGGAGAGAAAGGTGACGTGGATTTCACTTAGTCGTTAGTTGTTAACGTTTCTTCATAGTGAATGAACATGTGTTTGTTGGACGTTGCCGTGTGTCGTGCAAGAGGTAAGTCACGGTCGCTGTGTGTGAATCCCGTGGGGCCGAGACCACTAAAGTTTTTCTCCGTGGGGCCAAACCCATCACTGACACTGTGACACGTGATTAAATAAGGGAATCAAGATTTCGAATCAGGATCTTTCTACTCACAGTACGAGAAGATTGCATCTTTTAAAATTTCGAATTTTCAATCCCAATGAAATTTTATTTTGGAGTAAGGAACAACAGTCATCATGGCGCCATAGCATGTACATTACATTTAAAGAGTCTTTGACATGGTATAACCTGGTCCAGTCCAGGTGAAGACTGAAGAGGCTTTTGACATGGCCACAAATTTTATAAAATAAAATAAATTTAAATTACTTTCTAAGTTTTAGGGTTTTTTTTTTTGGAAAAAAATATGTCATTTTAAATGACATATCTTAAGTCTTTTTTCACTTTCACAAAGAAGTGAGATTCACATCTTTAAAAAAATTTCTCTCCATTCTCTCTTCCATAATTTATATCTTTCTCTCACTTCATATGATACAATTTTATATCTTTTAAAACGATACACATTTTTTCCTTATTTTTTTCGTTTTAAGAATATTCTTTTGCCCCCCCCCCCCCAAGTTTCGTCCGATGATAGCTATTTATAAAAAGAATAAATGCTTTAAATGTAATTTGTTGTAAAAAAATGCTTTAAAAGTCATTCTCATTCAAGATTTACAATTATTTAATGAATATTAATTATTATTATTTTTGGTAGATTAATGAACATTATTTTTATCATCCAATTTGGTCCAATCACATCCTCTACTTGTGCTCAAATGATATCATTTGTTGCTATCCATGACTTATTTCTTTTATTGAACACTTGGACTGTTGGACAAATTAGGAAAGCCTTTTCATTTTAGCAAAGTTGATACAAAAATATTTCGGAGTTTCTTTCCATCTATTCCAATTTTAGAAAAGTTGATAAAATATATATTCCAAATTCTTATCATTTTAAATTTGCTCTTTAAGTTTTTTTTTTCCTTTTTAGATTATTCTTTTAAGTTTTAGCTCTTTTAACAGTTTTTAATTTTGGACCTCTGATTTTTTTTTTTCGTCCGATGAGAAGTACTTATTATGAGTATCGTTTAAAGGGAAAAATTGCAAGTAAAATTTCTCTATATTTGATCACTATATTCTTTGTTATAAGAA